GCCTTCCATTTTGTATAACACTGCTTTTATTGTGTTGCGGTTGGTTATGTTCTGGTGACGTGTAGAACTTGGGAGTGCAGGCTGCTGCCTGAGAGGTGGTAGAAGATGGAGTGTCTCCATGCTGCTTTGTTTTGGTCACTTATGTGCGTGAGGCGAGTGGTGTTACGGGTTAAACCAAACTCAAGGTGATATTTTAAACTAAACTGAAAACCCACAACACTCTAAATGTAATAAAAGGGAGATCTACACCACAAAAAAGATGAACTCTAAACCAAAACGTAACAGCTTATCCCAACGCAAGAAGCTGTTAGCGAAGATGCTAACAGTAGCTTTACCAACGTTAAGTTCAAGTTACCAAGTTTAAATAAACCAAAAACACCCAGCAGCAAACAGACCAGCACGGAGGAGAGACTGCTACCACCAAAACAGCTCTCCTCATGTCTGAAAGAAGCTCCTTAATGAAGGGAGAAGCGCTCCCGGTGATTTTCTACATCTGCGATAGACACAAAGCAGCGCATCTGACCCCGGAAGTTGTTGTCCGTTGCCGGGAGACGAAGGGGCAAAACAGGAAAATAATCTAGTAGTGGACGGACGTTGTTCCGGGTCTTCGGTATTTGGCGGAGATGTTAGTGAAGGCGGAGAAGAGGGCGAACTAGAGGAAAAACAGGCAGATTCCTCCTCTATTTACAAACTCCTGGGGATGCAACAAGTGGGCGCGGTGCGTCGACTTCCGGATCTGACGTCGACAAATTTTTAGAATCGAGCCATCGACTTCGTCGAGGCTTCGCTACATCCCTACTGTTTTACTATCTAATGCTGTAAAACGCCTCACAACACATTTTTGTCAAAATAAATGATCACTGTATATTGTTAATTAATTCAAATAATGTAATATTGATTTAGTGTTGTAGTGTGTGTGCTGCTTATTTTATATGTGTACTTAATTCAGTTTATTTGTGTTTCTTATGCAGAAAAAACAAGCAACGATGGACAACTACACGGGGAACAAGACACTCACCCCCAGCAATGCATACCACTTACAAACTCTATTCTAGATTCTACATTATTTTTTTATGGAATTTACCTCTTATAATTTGATGCCAAAAAATTATTCTGGACTGATATTTTGCACTGTTTAGCTCATTTTACACCACTGACTGTGTTCATGTGCAATAAAATAGATTGCAGTCAACTGCACAATTCTCTTATGTTTTTCTTTTTCTTAACTGAAATGTATTCATCACTTGTATAGGTTAAATAGCTAAACAATAACAAACTGATTAATCGATTAATCGAAAAAAAATAATTGACAGATTAATCGATTATGAAAATAATCGTTAGTTGCAGTCCTACCTGCATGTGTGCTCTTCTTCTCTCCTGGGTATCACCTGTGGACGTCGCTTCCTGGGAGGACCTCTCTACGCTAGGGATGCACCAATACGGATACCGATACCGGTATCGGCCTCTATACCACATTATCTAAAGTATTCGTATTCGTTAAAAGTCCCTCGATGCCAGGGACCGATACCACGGTCTGAGAAATGTCTATGTTTGAGCAGCGAGTAAGGGGTTAATCACAGGTGCAGAGTGCCCGCCCCAGGGTCCCAGCTGCAGAAGGCAAGGCAAGGCAAGGTGAGACACGGGATGAAACAACATATCAGCAGTGTGGAACTATTTCAAAGTGGATGAAGACGACAAAACAAAGGTGGGCTGCAAATTGTGCTCGGCGAAATTGTCCAGAGGAGGCGCAAAAGGTAGCGCATTAAACACAAGTAATTTAATCAAGCACCTAAAATCCAAGCACGACAACGAGTACAGAGTTCACCGATGCTAAACCAACACAACCCACGCTGCAGCAAACTCTTGCAAGACGAGAGAAAATGTCCAAAGACAATCAACGTGCTGTGAAAATAACACAGGCTATTATGGAGTACATTGCACTGAGTGACCAGCCGCTCTCGGAGGAAGAAAATGTGGGATTCCTGCGTCTCCTCCATGTTCTGGAGCCCAGATATGATGCCCCAAGCCGCCGCTACATGACTGACTCAGAGCTGCCCAAATTACACGACCCTGTGAAAAACATATCCACAGCCGACTGCAAGCCTCCTCTGAGTTTAGTTTCACCACGGATATTTGGACCAGCAGTATTAGCCCCGTGTCGCTAATTAGCCTAACTTCCCAGTGGATGATAGTTTCACGCCGCAACCAGCCATATTACATGCGAAACAACTCCGCGGCTTGCACACCAGCCAGGCTATAGCGCATGTGTTTGAGGAAATGCTCCAGACATGGGGTATACCTAAAACATCAGTACACGTTGTGCTTCGTGACAATGCCAAAAACATGATTAAAGCCATGAATGACGCAGGGCTCCCAAGTCTGCCGTGTGTCATGCACACGCTCCAGCTGGCTGTTCACGAGGGCTTATTAGCACAGAGGAGCATAGCTGATGCTATAGCAGTGGGGCGAAAAATAGTTGGGGCATTTTAAGCATTTCGCCTTAACCTACTCCCGCCTCGAGGACATTCAGGGACAGCTGAACCAGCCAACAAAGAGACTGCAGCAGGACATACAGACGCGCTGGAACAGCACGTATTACATGCTTCAGTCCCTCATTGAGCAAAAGCGAGTGCTGGGGGTGTATGTGTCCGAGCATGAACTCCCTGACTGTCTCACCGCTCACCAATGGGCTCTTATTGAGAAGATTGTTGCCATCCTCGCCCCCTTTGAGGAACTAACTAAAAAAGTGAGCAGCTACGACGCACTAGCCTCTGATGTCATCCCAGCTGTGACTGTGCTTGTGAGACTTCTAAACAGAGAAACCGACGAGGACCACGGTGTCAAGACAATGAAAGCAACCTTACTGACAGCTGTCAAGAAGCGCTTCAGTGGCGTGGAGACAACCCACTGTACTTCATCTCCACCATACTTGACCCAAGGTAAAGTCTATATTTTCCCATATTACTCCCAGAAAGCCACATAGCTGGCATTTGTGACAGTGGTTTAGGGGTGCTACGAGCCCTGAGTTCTCCAGCGCCCGGCTTCTACTCCGCTCTGTTTCAGCACCATGGTCAGCACCCTGGAGAGCGCCCAGCCACACATGCGGGAAACTAAAATCTATATTTTTCCACATATTAATAAAATCTTTAAATTTGTTCAGGTATAAAGATCGCTTTTTCTCCACCAACACTGCCTCAGAGGCCAAGCTGCACCTGAAGTAGGAGCTGCAGATGATGTCCAGAGCTGAGTCAGAGGGTAGTCGGGCGGAAGCTGCAGAACCTCCTGCTAAACTGTTCCTCAAGGCCCAGGCCAGCACTGGCAGCAGTCTGGACACTGTCTTTGAAGAAATCGCCATGGAGCAGGCCCAAGCAGCACAGCCGCTGGCAGCAGGTGCTGCCATTGAGCTCGACACATACCTCGGAGAGGCCCCAAGCCCTCGTGAAGACAGTCCTCTGAAGTACTGGGGCGTCAACAAAATCAGGTTTCCCACTTTGGCTAAAATGGCCCGTAAATACCTCTCAGCTCCATGTAGCAGTGTGGAAAGTGAAAGGCTCTTTAGCTCTGTGTCACACATTATAGATGAAAACAGAAACAGGCTGACTGCTGATAATGCAGGAAAGCTACTTTTCTTTAAAAAAAAAAACCTGCCACTCACTTTTTCTAAATAGGCTCCATTAAGTGAGACGTCTTAGAGTTTATTTTAATACCTACCTCAGTTGCACTGACTGCCAGAGTCCCATGTTGGTGGATGTTGTTAGTTTATTCGGATATTGTGCACTAAATAGCAAAGATGTTTATTAATGCCTCTTGTGTTGTCCAAAGCAGCAGTTTACAACAAACTGAAAAAAATACTTGAGTTGCAATGTTACCTTTTTTAAATAATTATTTATTCCTTAATATGTTGCATAAAATATGCAGCAGCTTTCATTTTAAATAAATGTTCTTAATTCCAAACTAGTGCCTTTTTTTTGTTAAATTATACGACTAAAGCTGTTACCTGTAAATTTAAATCATGATTTTATTAAGTACTCGGTATCGGTGAGTACTGAAATGCAAGTACTCGTACTCGTTTTCCAAAAAAGTGGTATCGGTGCATCCGACCTGTTCTGCAGAGGTTTCTCTGAAATGAGATCAAATCAGTGCTTCTATGGGTTGGCTCCTCTCTGCACTAGAAATTTTGAATTTTTTTAGAGACGTGTCATAATTTCAAACTCAAAGCAATAGTCAAAACATTAAGCATGAAATAGAGTTATAATGGCTCCAATAAGAGAAAGAAGCTGCATGCTTCATAAAAGCTTTTATTTTCACTTCTGAAAGTGACGTCGTTTTTCGATGTAAACATCAAAAGGAAGCAGAAAGGGAAGACAATGGAAAATGTTTAAAGGGAGGAAAACATGGACCAAAATGGGAAATAGAAAAAAAACAAAGGCAAAAGCACAGGAGCACTGACAGGAAAAAGAAAGCAGAGTAAATATTGAAAGCGCTCAAAGGAAGGGAAATACAGGAAAAAAGAGGAGGACTAATATAAAGGGGAAATAACTCATGTCAGAAGAGGAGAGAGTTTCGCAAATCCAGTTAAAGGTAAGATTGTCGAAAATTTAGAGTAAGGGGCCCCATGTCTGTGTTCGCCTTGGGCCTCCAAATTGGTAAATCCGCCAGTGAGTTTCAGCTTTCCAGCATTCAAACAGCATTTCTGCAAGAAATGCAAATTTTCCCAGTTTGAGTTATTTCTGCATTTTGTTTGTTAGCAGCTGCTCAGGTAAGCATGACTTCTCTTCAGATGGTTGCCCTGTTTCAGTAGGACGGTGGAGTGAATAATGACGGCAGGGTTCATTTTTGTTTCTGCGAGGTAAGATGGACAAGTCCAGACTCAGAACCGGTCCAACATCTGCAGTAACTTAAAACCGGGACGCGTGTCCGGTTCGGGTCCACCACACAAACTTCTAAACCGGACGGTTTGGATCCAGTAAAGAGTTCAGGAGGACTCGAGGGGAACTTACCTGGACCTGGTACATGTTTCTGGCGGCAGGACGCAGCTGAACCTGCAGTTGGGTGCGTTTCCGAAACCAGAACCGCGGCGATGTCGGTTCCGCTTCACCTCCCAGTGCCGGACTATCCCGGTACCGCTGAGTCCCGGTTGGGCTGGTCCAACCTCTGCAAGGTCCGGGCTTATTTCGCTCCGCTACGGAGGGGGGTGGGATGAAAATAAACCGAGTGAAGCCGAGAATGTCCGAGCACTTCCGATGATTTCAGGAGCGACTTCCTGTGGGTTTTATTTCACAATAAAAGCTTTTTGTTTTTACTTGCTGAGTAAAAGAGCCTCGAGCTTCTCAGATCGAAACAACTTTAGATGTTTTACCAAACGGACCAAATTGCGTGATTCTGCTGTTTCATTAAACATTGTTTCAAGTTCCAAAGTTTCCAGTGATTCACGAGTCCCTCGAACCAAAATGCGGTCGCACGTGGTGCTTTAGCTAGTGACTCACTTCCGGTACGGACCCTTCCAAGGTAAAATTCAGTCATATTGCAACAACGCCTGTGACGTTAGTATTATAAATCAGATGTTCAAACATAGATGTTGGTTTGTTCTAATGGAAGTATTTGATGTTCTGGCAGAAGAAGACACAAATGCTGTGAGAAATTCAGTTAAAAAATGAACCAACAGCTTTTGATCAGGACAGAACCAAACTTTGAGTAGCACAGACAGATAATTTAGTTTTTATTAGTGATACTGATAAAAAAGATGGACACACAGATAATTTATTATAGAAAATCACATTCCAATACAAATACAACATTCCTGGGTTTTGTCAGCTAGTTTGTTATTGAGTCTAAATCATAATAATCAGCCGCAGTGGATTTATTACCTGTAAAGTACTTTTATCATATTCCTGTTCTACCAAACATACGTTCTCGCTGACTCAGTTTAGGGGGAGGGGCTACAGTCAGGAACATCAAAGTGGACAGGGTTCTGTTGAAGGTTTCTTCCTGTTAAAAGGAAGCTTTCCTCTCCACTGTCACTGCATGCTTGCTTAGTATGAGGATTGCTGTAAAGACGCTGGCACTAGTCAGTGACTTGATGCAACCTGCTGGGTTCCTTCTATAGGAAACTTTTTACTGACTGGCTTAATGACCTGACCTGTATTGGAAGTTTACTGTGTGAAGGTCCTTGAGATGACTCTGGTTGTGACTTGGCGCTTTATAATTAAAACTGAAGTGAATCGGTGGACATGAGGGGTGGTTGAAGTCATTGTTAGGCGTGTTTCCACTATCAGAACTTCAGGGTCATTTTACTGGAACCTCATGGTGTGCACATCTCCACTTCAGGCTGGCTGAACGAGTCGTTTTCAAGAGCCAGCGGAGTGCCTGAACATCCGTCTTCATGATGTCAGAAGGAGCATTTAAGGTGGAGAAAGCCCCCATTAATATGGTCATGTGGTCAGTAGCAGCTACGCTGGGGGAGGAGGTTCTGCTGTGATGTCATACATGACGTAGTCGTTTTATTTGACATTTACAAGCTAATAAATCTTAAAGTACGTGACAGACGTTATTAATCATCCGAACTGAAGTAGATCATCCGTGTGATTCAGGGTGAGGCGAGGAGGGTGAGAAAACAGCTCTGGACCCATGAGCGGCGCAGAGGGGGAGGAGCTTTAGGCTCACTACTAGTAAAACTAAAGAGGCTGCTGATGAAGCAGAATGAAGCACGAGCAACATTAGGATCACTGTTGTTAAATCCCAACAGCCAAAAGGCAACGGAGTTCCCATGGCGACGGGGACTTGTTGCCCAGTGAAAGAGGGCGTTACTTCTGCCCACAGGTTCTCAGGATCAGTTCAGTTCTGCTTTTTGGGCCTGATCGGTGACTTCACTCACTAACGAAGCAGAAGCTGACATGAATGAATTTGCATGGAGACAACAGCTGAGAGGACCAGGTCATCGTATCTTCTGATGAGTTTTCCCTTCCAGAAATGACCCTGAAGTTCCGACAGTGGAAACACGCCTTTTGAGGCACTGTGAGGAGGAACAGATCTGGATCTAAGAGTCTGTCCTCCTTCAGAAGACCGTCCCTGCACACTGAGCTGAAGACGTAGGTTCGGGTTTGAAGGCAACAGGTGAAGGTCCATCAGGAGCTTCCTGCAGCTGCTCCAACTCACTGGGCTCTCCGTCTGTAGCGGAGGACAACATCCGTAGAGGGCTGCAGAATTCCCAGTCCGGCTCGGTTGGAGACTAGCGAGGGATGTTTATGCTCGTCCTCCAGCTGCAGATCGAAGTAGAGCAGCAGCAGACACACAAACTGTTTGATTTCGTTCATGGCGAAGAAGCGACCAGGACAAATGGTGGAACCAGAACCAAATGGCATTAGGTAGTACTTAAGCTTCTGCCCGTTCTTGTAGAAGTCCGTCTTCCCTCTGCTGTCCTGTACGAAGCGGCTGAAGTGAAAGGTCTATGGGAACAGAACATCAGCTGATTTCACTTCCTGACAGGTCTCCATCCTCCAGAACTGGTTCTCTGTGGTTCTTCAGGATGTTCCATGTTTAAACATCTCCACATCGTCAGCTGTGGCCAGAAGCTCTGAGACCAACCCAAGATTTGGCAGCTGGACTTCTTTGTTTCTTTAAGATGTTTAGCTTCTCATCCGAGGAGCTTTCTCAGTTCTAACGGGAATGTGGGAGAGTCCAGCTTATAAGCTGTAGCTGTCTGTTGTTGTTTAAGGAGCTGAAACTACTCTGAGTACCCCTCCTCTCCATCCCCTGATGAGTGGTTGTGTTGATAAGACACAGGAAGGTGTGACCTGGACTGAAACAGCTTAGAAATGAGATCCAAAGCTGCAGTATAGGTACTGGAAAGGTGAAATCTAAGCCCCGCCCCTATTTAAAGTGGGTTTTTCACGTTTGACATCGATAGCTTCTTTTACTCCTCTCTCACACATCTATCTTCTCTGTCCAGAATGTATCCCTTGTCCTTCAGGTGTAGGTGGACTGCAGAGTCCTGACCTGAAGCGGTGGCTCTCCTGTGTTGTGCCATGCTCTTGTGTGATTGTTGTTAGTTTAGCCGATGTAAACATCTGGACAGTCCTCACTACACTGGACTGCATAAACGACGCCACTGAGCTTCTGTTTGGGTGTTTTGTCTTCTGGATGGACCAGGTTCTGTCTGAGGGTGTTGTTAGGTTAAAGTTTACCAGGATGTCGGGTTTGGAGAAGATTCTTCTAGGTTTCTCTGAGACTCAGAACCTTCCTGCATCTAACCTGCACAACCACTCATTAGGGGGTGGAGAGGAGGGGCACTCAAGAGTAGTTTCTGCTTGTTAAACAACAACAGACAGCTACAGATTATAAGCTGGACTCCCATATTCCAGTTAGAACTGACAGAGCTCCTCGGGTGAGAAGAGAAACATCTTCAAGAAACAAAGAAGTCCAGCTGCCTTCATGTGAACCCTTTGGGTCACCATGACGTGGATGACCGAGAACCTTCACCAGCATATCTGGTTTCTATGGTTACTGAAGAACAACTACAGCATTTTACAGCTTCAGTGGTCCACCCTGTTGTCATCTTCTTGGTTAAGGTAAGAACCTGACCTGTCAGGATGGATCTGAGGAGTTCTCCCAACCTGGACGAAAAAATGCAGATATTTCGTTCCTGATCTACTTAGTCCTGAACCTTCTAATGCAGCTGTCCTTCCTGACACCAGAGCATTCTCCACAAGTCCTGCAGATGGACCTGGACCTGCTGGAGCCCACTCCCAGACCAGCTTTAGACACGTTCTTGGTTCTGAATCAGGTTTAACATTTGGTGTCCACTAGGGCTGGGCAATAAATAGAAAATTTATTGTTATCGAAATTTCTGACTGTTCGAGATCATTTTTCTCACGTCCATAAATCTAATAATAAAAAATGAAAGATGTGTAGGTTGGCAGCGTTCATCTCCCTCTAAGAAGCCGTAGCACCTCGAGTCACATAAAACACAATACATGTGACAGCCCCCTCTAGTGGACAACCTTTGTTTCTGCACACCTGTAGTTATTCTCATCGAGGTGCAATCCTCAATACATGGTGATACTGATTCAAGGTCACATTGCCCAGCCCTAGTGTCCAACTATAATCCATCAGATCTGGTCTCCAGAACGTTCTGGGCTCCATCTAAACCAGGGGTCGGCAACCTTTTCCCATCAGAGAGTAAAGAGCACACCGGGAGCCGCAGCATCCGGGCCTGAGCAGGTCTCTTTTTACCGAGTTACACGTGTCCTTTAACACACATTTAACCTGTTCAGAACACAAACCCAGGCTCTGTCTCGGTGGATTGTTGTAATTAAACTTTGTTCTAGAGGAAACTTTACATGAAACTATGTTAGAAGGTAAAGAAAAGGATCCGATCAGTTGGGTTTTTCCTCGTTTACAGTGACGGAGATGACAGTTTTAATGTTTCTGTTTGCAGCGGTCTTCACAAGAAGGCAGAACAGTTAGGTAACGGTTCACGCTGACCGGGTATTTCTCGCATTTGACCGTTTATTTTGATGCAGAAACCTCAAGCCTGCAGATGTGCTGACATTTTAATCGTTACGCCCATTGCAGAGGTAGCTACATCAGTCAGGGAACGATTCCCATCAGAGCATCTGAGCTGGACAGTGAGGTCAGCGCCACTCGTTATCAGCGTGCACCTTACAGCTTGGAGCTCGTCTTGTTCCTGTCTCCAATGGCGTCCATGAGCCTGTCTGAGAAAAAGTCCAGAAGCTCACATCCTCTTCAGCTCAGAAAGCTCCTAGAGAGACATCTGGTCACACACAAGCAGGTGACCTGTTCAGGTTTACAGTCTTTACATTTAGAATAGGCTACAGATAAAAGTGAATGCAGTAAAATAAAATCAGTTTGAATGAAATATTCATTCATTAGTTTACAAGCAGAGAGCCGCATCAGATGGATGGAAGAGCTGCGGGTTGCCGACCCCTGGTCTAGACTCAACCTGATAAAAACTGAAGTAAACTCGGACAACTCATTTGGGTCAGTCTCAGAACCGCTGGCCAGCCGACAGAACATCCTGTGGTTCTGTCATGAGTCCAGCAGACTCAGTGTTGGAACTGCTGAGGAAACACGAAGAACCAAGTCCTCTAAAACAGTGTTCCCCAGCCCTGGTGCTCAGGGTCCTGCACGCCCTGCGTCCTCAGGAGGACATCAGGAGCCTGTTATTCACTCATTCTTCTAAGTCAGGCGTGTGGCAGCAGGGAAACATGAAGGATAGTTGGCCCTGAACACCAGGGCTGAGGAACATTGGTCTAACGGGATAAGATCAGCCCCACCCCCCTACCTGTGGGTCCTCATAGATCTCAGGGTCCAGATGCATACTCTGAGGGTACAAGGCAATGATGTCCCCCTTCCTGACATCCACAGAGCGCTTGGCATCCAGACGCAGAGCAAAGTCCTCCTGGGCCACCCGAATGTTCATGGAGCTTGAGGACAGGCGGAGGCTCTCGTTGATGGAGCTCTCTGAGGGTGGAGGAGACGCATTATTGGTTGGCTTTGTGACCTTGACATCCTGGACACATTCTGAGAGTGAACATACCCAGAAAGACGAGTTTGTCCAGCTGGTCTCTGCTGAGCATCGTGTCTCTGTTGGGGCTGAACTCCACACCACCGTCTCTAAGGACATCCAGGATCTGCTGACGGACCACCTGCAGGGCCTCAGGGTGCTTCACCAGGTAGTATGCTGCCCAGAAGGTGGCTGGAATGGTGTTGCTTACTGAAGCCCACAGGATGGCAAAGTGATGAGCTAAAGGATGGGAGGAAAGCTGCCATCAGAATGGAGCCAGAACATCTCACCAAAAAGAGCCTCACATCCACTGATTTCATGGTGGGAGAGGTGTCCAGAGAATGAAACAGAACACAACTTCACACTAAAAGTACTTTCAGGCAGGAGCTAGGATTGAAGAAGATCGGGGGCTTGGCCCAGAGAAGTGATTTCTACTTTTAAATGAAACATTTCAACTTTCACATTTTGAGCATGGTAAAGCGTCTGCTGTAATCTAGATTACACGTCTGAACCGACATGATGATATAACACGTTTACTGTTAGCTTCTATCCAGCAGTGTGAAAACAAACCCTCTCCGGAACTTTACATCAGGATGGAAGCAATGTTAATGCAGTAATCCTCAAGTATTCATATCCTTCCACTAAAGAAACGACTAAACTCACAGAAGTCATTGAAATAACTACTAACTCAAATACAGCAAGTAGAAAACACCTAAATTATAACAAGTTATTAGAAATTAGAACTGGAACGCTCTGCTGCCATTGTCCAACAACAGAAACAGGAAGTGCTGCCGTTGTCCAACAACAGGAACAGGAAGTGCTGCCGGCACAACGAAGGTGCTGGTCCTCATATTTCCTCTGAAGTAAAAACCACAGGATAAATAGAAGCAGCATAAACACAGCTGGCATGTGCAGGTTAAATAATCCCAACTAGGTGTGTGTAGAGTGTTTCTGGTGCTTCAGAGTGGTGATCCCTTAAGGGCAGTAACTGTTCTTCAGCCTTCAAATGAAGCCTAAATAAAGGTAAAGAGTCCCAGAACAGAGCTGAGGTTAACACACCTGTCAGCAGGTGTTCTCCTGATGGAGGAACATGCTTGTTGTTTCTGTCTCTGCTGGACACACTCTAGTTTAGATGGACTCTGTTTTCAGCAGAAACATGCCAGGGACAGCTGTTCCTTTGCCTTTAACGGGAGGGGATGGAACAGCTGAGAACGAATTTAATGAATAAATGACATTTACTGAACTAAATGAGTAACTTCATGGTGTTACTGGATTTACTTCATGTACTAAAATACTTCTACTTTACTCTTTTATCTGGTCAGTAACGCAGAGGACATCCGCCTCTCTGTTATTACTTCATTCATGTTTATGATCATTATCCCAGCTGGTGTGGACTGTTCCCATCAGACCTACATAACACCAGTTAGCTGTCGTCACTTCCTGTCCAGAACAACTTTATGACACGTTTTAAAGAAGACGCACAAACCTGAATCATCCCAGGATTTGCTTTAATCTGTGGTTTTTGTTTTAGTCCCAAAACCAGCCCAGCGCGTCCTAACATCCATGCTTCAGCCTCCCCAAGCTTCACAACACAGCAGGAGCTGCTGAAGGCTTCTTCTTCTGCAGAGACTCCCGCAGGCTGAATGCAGGCTACACCACGCAGCTGCGCACTCGCTGGTGGGCTTTGGTACTGCCTGACACTTCTAACCTATTCTTCGTCAAAATTAGATTTGGGGCTTTTGAGAAAACATCCGGGACTTGAGCCCTAACCCCGCCTCTGGATTCGATTTTAACCAACCAGAGATTCCCAAATCCAACTAGCTAGAACCAGTTAGAACCAACCAGAACCAGATGCAATGGTTGAAGGAAGTTAAGTAGGAGCCACAGCATCTGGAGTTAATGAAGTATTTTATAACTTAATCTTCTGGGTCTTAAAGGAGCTCAGATGTTCTCCAGCCTCACTCTGGAGTCTGTAGCTAAACATCTGAACTCTCCGGTGTTTATTCAGATGTGAACAATATTACATTTCTGTCCTAAAACAGGATGTGTTGTCAGCTAGGACACGTCTCCTTGTCCACACCACCCAGATGCTTCAGGTCATCCCACTACCTTCAGAGAAGACTCTGGACCCTACAATGGGTTCGGCCCCTGTGGGTGGGGCCATGAAGCATTAGGAGGTCTGGTCTACCTGCTTTGTGAACGTCCTTCAGCTGGCCTTGTTGGTTGAACAGTTCGGATCGTCTCCTGATGAACTGGGACATGTTGGACCAACGAGACATCTGCTGCGGTAGAAAGTAACTGATCAGCTTCTCACGGATGGCCTTGGTCTGCCCTAACAACCATATCGGTATCTGAGCAATAAGAAGTGGGAAGACATTGTCAAATTTCACAAAGTCTTCCCTCAGCTTCTCCATCTCCACGTGGCGACTGCCGGTTTCTGGTTTCCCGTAGATGGTCAAGAAGGTGGCCTCAAACATGGCTGAGGAACAAAACTCATACATGCTGTTGGTCTTCCAGCCTCCATCCTGGTCGAAGTGGTCCTGACGAAACACCAGCATCAGGTTACCCATCATGCTCTCTGTGAGGGGTGAGAGGTTGTCCCCCTGAAGAAGCTGGAAGGAGCGTCTGATCTGGTCCCACAGACCAGGATACACCTCGTCCCGGACAGGGGGGTATCCGAAGGTAGAAGGAACCACCTCCTGGGTGAATTTGTGGAAGTCGAGCTGCCGGCCGTGTTTGATGATGTTGGGATACAGCAACGGATCCATGATGAAGGTCATGTATTTACCTGCAAGGTGAAAACCAACATTTCTGCTGTTAACTGGCTTTAATGCCAGACAGCTGCTGGGGACAGATGTTGGAAGACCAACCTGCTATCAGGACTGTAAAAACATCTCCGTACTTCCTTCTCTGTTCTTCTAGAAACTTGTGAGCATCTTTTCTAAACTCCAGAGCTTTCCCAATAAAAGGAACCCAGCTGCTGACCAGAGGAGGCTCGCCGGGTCTTCTGTAAGAGAGGAGACTTGTAGAAAACGTACACACACACACACACACACAAATATATACACAACACACACACACACATCCTTACTTACACGCACGCACATGCACACGCACACACACACCCTCCATGGCTAGACTTTAGACCCCAGGTTGTCCTGACCTGTCTGTAATAGACAGCTCAAACCTGACAATCAGAACCCTCCAGGGGGTTCCAGGGAATGTCAAGTTCAAACACTCCCAGATCTTCTTCTGCTTCTGCCACTAATGTTGTACATGAATGTCTCAGCACAGTGTCTTGGTATAACCGATATGGTCATCGTGACTCGCTGAGGTTTATCATTAACTGTAGACCACTGGCCCGTCATGGTGAATAGTGTTCTCCAGTGGGATGGCCTTCTTTGTCCACCAGGAGGTTGGGGCATTGGTACACCTTCATTTATGAGACCATGCTTGGACTACTATCACCTACATCTATAACTTCATCTAACAGAGAAGTGTAACTTCTCACAGTGTGCATACAACGATCAGCTATTACTCTGTTCTGTTTGCTGCACCGAACCGGGCTAAAGGGCTTTGGTTCACTCTGCTCCTGCATGGAGCAGGCTGCAGGAACACTGGACATTAACCCAGTTTATCTCCATGACTACATTTAAAACCAGACTGAGAACCCTTGAGACAGATTCCCTGTGTTGTAACTGCCTTCTGTAATCTAGTACATAACATGTCTGTGTAACTGTAATATTAGTAACTAACTTTTACTACCTCTTGGCCAGGACCCCCTTGAAGGAGAGGGGGTCATGGAGCCAGACACTAAGGTATTTGTATGTGTGGACCACCTATTTGATATAAACAAATAAATAGTGGTTAGAGCTGTTGCCTTGCAGATAGAAGTTCGTGGGTTCGCTGACCAGCCTGGATCTTTCTGCATGGAGTTTGCATTTTCTCCCGGTGCATGTGTAGGTTCTCTCCGGCTTCCTCCCACAGTCCAAAAACATGACTGTCAGGTTGATTGGTCCGTCTAAATTGTCCATAGGTGTGAGTGTGTGATTGTTTGTCCTGCGTGTCTCTGTGTTGCCCTGCGATGGACTGGCACTCTGTCCATGGTGTACCCCGCCTGATTGCCCGTTGGCCGCTGGAGATGGGCACCAGACCCCCACCCCCCAATCCTACATGGACAAGTTCTCTTATATATATATATATATATCTATATATATATATATATCTATATCTATATATATCTATATATCTATATATATATAGATATACCAGGGAGGCGTCCAGGAGGCATCCTGACCAGACGCCCGAGCCACCTCAACTGGCTCCGCTCGATGTGGAGGAGCAGCGGGTCTACTCCGAGCCCCTCCTGAATGATCGAGCTTCTCACCCTATCTCTAATCATCCATCCATCCATAATCATCCATCCATCCATAATCATTCATCCATCCATCCATTCATAATCATTCATCCATCCATCCATAATCATTCATCCATCCATCCATAATCATCCATCCATCCATAAATCCATCCATCCATTCATAATCATTCATCCATCAATCCATAATCATCGATCCATCCATTTTCATCCGCTTATCCGGAGTCGGGTCGCAGGGGCAGTAGCCTAAGGCGAGAGGCCTAGACTTCCCTCTCCCCAGCCACTTGGGCCAGCTCCTCCGGGGGAATCCCAAGGTGTTCCCTAGCCAGTTGAGAGACATAGTCCCTCCACCGTGTCCTGGGTCTACCTTTAGGTCTCCTCCCGGTTGGACGTGCCCGGAAAACCTCACCAGGGAGGCGTCCAGGAGGCATCCTGACCAGACGCCCGAGCCACCTCAACTGGCTCCGCTCGATGTGGAGGAGCAGCGGGTCTACTCCAAGCCCCTCCTGAATGATCGAGCTTCTCACCCTATCTCTAAGGAAGACCCCAGCCACTCTTCGGAGAAAACTCAATTCAACCACTTGTAACCGCGATCTTGTTCTTTCGGTCACTACCCAAAGCTCATGACCATAAATGAGGGTAGGAATGTAGATGGACTGGTAAATCGATAGCTTCGCCTTCTGACTCAGCTCTCTTCACCATGACATACCGGTACAACGCCCGCATCGCTGCAGATGCAGCACCAATCCACCTATCGATCTCACGCTCCAGTTTTCCCTCACACGTGAACAAGACCCCAAGATACTCAAACTCCTCCACTTGGGGCAGGACCTCATCCCTGACCCAGAGAAGGCATTCTACCCTTTTCTGAATCAAGACCATGGTCTCAGATTTAGAAGAGATGATTCTCATCCCAGCTGCTTCACACTTGGCTGCAAACCGCTCCAGCGAAAGCTGAAGATCACGTTCTGATGAAGCCAACAGGACCACATCATCTGCAAAAAGCAGAGACCTGATCCTCAGGCCACCAAAACGGATGCCCTCCACACCTTGGCTGTGCCTAGAAATCCTGTCCATAAAGGTTATGAACAGAATCGGTGACAAAGGGCAGCCTTGGCGGAGTCCAACTCTCACTGGGAACAAGTCCGACTTACTGCCGGCAATGCGGACCAAGCTCTGACCGGTCATACAGGGACCTAACAGCCCGTATCAGAGGGCCTGGTACCTCATTCTCCCGTTGTATTCCCCACAGGGCCCCCCGAGGGACGTGGTCAAACGCCTTCTCCAAATCCACAAAACACATGTAGACTGGTTGGGCAAATTCTCACGCACCCTCCAGGATCCCCCTAAGGGTATAGAGCTGGTCCAGTGTTCCACGACCAGGATGAAAACCACATTGCTCCTCCTGAATCTGAGGTTCAACAATCCAACGGACCCTCCTCTCCAGAACCCCTGAATAGACCTTACCAGGAAGGCTCAGGAGTGTGATCCCCCTGTAGTTGGAACACACCCTGCGGTCCCCCTTTTTAAATAAGGGGACCACCACCCCGGTCTGCCAGTCCAGTGGGACTGCCCCCGATGTCCACGCGATATTGCAGAGCCACATCAGCCAACACAGTCCCACAACATCCAGAGCCTTAAGGAACTCCGGGCGGATCTCATCCACCCCCAGAGCCTTGGTGCAGAGGAGCTTTTTATCCACCTCAGTGACCTCAGCACCAGAGATTTGAGAGGCCAACCCAAAGTCTCCAGACTCTGCTTCCCCGCTGGAAGACGTGTTGGTGGGATTGAGGAGATCTTCGAAGTATTCTGCCCACCGATCCACAACGTCCTGAGTAGAGGTTAGCAGCACACCGTCCTCACTATAGATAGTGTTGGTAGCGCACTGCTTCCCCCCCCGAGGCGCCGGATGGTGGACCAGAATCTCCTCGAAGCCGTACGGAAGTCTTGCTCCATGGTCTCACCGAACTCCTTCCATGCCCGGGTTTTTGTCTTGGTGACCACCCGAGCCGTGTTCCGCTTGGACTGCCGGTACCCGTCAGCTGCCTCTGGAGTCCCACAGGCCAAAAAGACCTGATAGGACTCTTTCTTCAGCTTGACAGCATCCTTAACTGCCGGTGTCCACCAGCGGGTTCGGGGGTTGCCACCACGACAGGCACCGACGATCCTGCGACCACAGCTCCGGTCTGCCTCCTCAACAATGGGAGGCACGAAACAGGGTCCATTCAGACTCAATGTCCCCCGCCTCCCCAGAACATTTTGGAAGTTCTGTCGGAAGTGGGAATTGAAGCTCCTACTGATAGGAGACTCTGCCAGACGTTCCCAGCAGACGCTCGCGATACGTTTGGGCCTGTCTGGTCTGACCGGCATCCTCCCCCACCATCTGAGCCAACTCACCACCAGATAGTGGTCAGTTGACAGCTCCGTCCCTCTCTTCACCCTAGTGTCCAAGACATGCGGCCGCAGGTTAGATGAAACAACAACAAAGTCGATCATCGAGCTGCGGCCTAAGGTATCCTGATGCCAAGAGCACATATGGACACCTTTATGTCTGAACATGGTGTTCATTATAGACAATCCATGACTGGCACAGAAGTTCAATAACAAAACACCACTCGAATTCAGATTGGGGGGCTGTTCCTCCCAACCACACCTCTCCAGGTCTCACTTTCATTGCCCACGTGAGCGTTAAAGTCCCCCAGCTGAACGAGGAAGTCACTGGAAGGAACGCTCTCCAGCATCCCCTCCAAGGTCTCTAAAAAGGGTGGGTAGTCTGAACTGTAGTTTGGTGCATAAGCACAGACCACAGTCAGAACCCGTCCCCCCACACGTAGGCGGAGGGAGGCTACCCTCTCATTCACTGGAGTAAACCCCAACGTACAGGCGCCAAGATGGGGGGCAACTAGAATGCCCACCCCTGCTCAGCGCCTCAGTGGGAGCAACTCCAGAGTGGTAGAAAATCCAATCCCTCTCCATAATCATTCATCCATCCATCCATCCATATTCATTTATCCATGCATAATCATTCATCTATCCATTCATAATATTCATCCATCCATCCATAATCATTCATCCATCCATCCATCCATCCATCCATAATCATTCATCCATCCATCCATCCATAATCATCCTTCCATCCATCCATCCATATTCATCCTTCCATCCATCCATAATCATTCATCCATCCATCCATTATCGCCTCTGTCAGTGCGCCCCAGGGCATTTGTGGCTACATCACAGCTCATCACCATCAGTGTGTGAATTTGTGTGAATGGATGAATGATAAACACTTTGGAGTCCTTACTCTGAGAGGCGCTATACAAGTGCGGGTCATTTATCATCATTCATAATTGTAACTGTTGTTGCTGTTTATTTCTTAGTTTATTTTTCATTTGTAAGACACTGGGTTGAAAAGGAAGGTTGTTTCGTGTTTCCTGTACATTGACTTTTATTTTGAAAGGCTACATTTGAGCTGCTCTGCCAGCCACACAATTAAAGATGGATGCAAACCAGGTGTGTGAAGAACACACAACCTGGATGAAGTACTGGCAAGCAGACAGTTGAGAATGGACTGAAAGCATTCAAACTAATGCTAAAGAACTAACTAATAAAAAGACTGAAGAAGTAAGATG